ATATCATTGATAAACATTTCTACATTATAATATATATAAATAAAATATATATTACAATTACATTATAATAACATATATTATTAATATTTATGTATATATACAAATAAGTGGAAGTTTAAACGATAACATCTATGTTTGAGAATGCGAGAAAATCTAAGACCATCTAAAATATTTAACCTATAATTAGAATTAAAAGAAAACAAACTAATTGATTAAGGATAATCATATGATTTCTTATTTATCTGTAATTTTGGTAAAATACTTATCTCTAAAATCATATACAAATAATATGTTAATCATTATCAAATAATTATTACATTATTATCACAACAAAATCATATAATGAAGAGATAAAGTGATGGATATATATGGATGTAATCTTTTCGATTATCATAACATTATCACATCGCTATCACAAAAAAACCACATAATTATTACATAATTATCACATCAAAATTACATCATAAAAACTTTTCAACTTATCTAATCATTATCAATTATTATCACAAAAACACATCAACATATTTAAAAAGTCTCTGATAGTCATAACAAAATTTAAGAGATAAAGATAAATTTAGGATAACAAAAAATTACGGATAAATACTAATTAATTTTTATTTATTCTAAGTTTTATTATATGTTAATTAATTTGAAGGTTCAAAAATATTCTCACATCTTCATAAAATAGAGATATTTTCGTTTAAATACTTCCATATATAAATATACTTTTTATAATATGATATTTTATATAAATATATATAATATAATATATATATATATATATTAAAATTTATAACGAAACGAATTCGACGATTATTTTAATAACTATTTATATATATCAATTCATAACCCTTCCAACTGATCCAATCATCCCCCTCCCTTCACCCTCTTCACCCCAACCTCCTTCACTTTCCATAACTCTGTTTCTACGAAGTTGAAAATGGCCTCCCTAATCCCAGATGAACTCATTGTTGAAATCCTGTCAAGGCTTCCATCAAAATCGCTTCTTCGTTTCCGATCTGTGTGCAAATCATGGCTGTCTCTGATCTCTTCCACCGAATTCAGACTCATGCATTTTCACAATTTCAACAAACCAAACCCTCGCCACCTCCTCCGTCGATTTGAATTGAGGGAGAACAAGGAGGTATACACTGTTCATTTGGACGATCAGCATTTCACTGTCGATGCGGAGGCTCCGATTAAATTCCCCTTCAAAATTGTTGGTCCTGACATCTACTGTTACAAGATAATCGGGTGCTGCAATGGCGTTGTTTGCCTATGTAATGCTAATACTACAGATGAAGAAGTTATTCTTTGGAATCCTTCGGTTAGAAGGAACATTACACTAGTTCCACCCATCTTTCCTAACAACTATTGGTACGAGTTGATTCTTGTTCTTGGTTTTGGATACGATACGACGTCCGATGATTATAAGGTTGTAAGAGTGGCCAACGATGGTCTCTTCTTCTTTGCTAGACCTCATGTAAGTGTTGCTTTACATGTCGGGTTTTCCTCATTTATCAGTTTTCGTTACAACATGTAGAAATTGATAGCTATAATTTCAACCAATCATGACTATTTGTTCACTTCGCTGTCTCAGGTTGAGATTTACACCGTTAAAACTGCAGTTTGGAGGGCAGTCACGTTTCCAGATGATCTGCGTTGCTTCTCCATCCTTCCCAACCAGTCACAAGTGTTTTTCAATGGATCTTTGCACTGGATAGCCTGCGATCCTATGCTTGAGGTTTCAGATTACTCAATCATGACATTTGATATGAGTACCGAGCTGTTTGGAGAAATTCAATTGCCTAATGATCTAGAGCTAGAATCAATGACGGAAGTGGTGGTCACAGTAGTTGAAGAATTCTTGGGTGTGATTTATTCTTGCCGTCATAGTTCTTCATGGTGGGGTTCAAGTACTTATGTCATATGGGCTATGAAAGAGTATAAGAACCCAGCTACTTGGACAAAGATGCATACTATGTATTATCCCGATGAAGATGTGGGGAGAGCTTTGCAAGTGAGGAGCAATGGGGATTTGATAACAGTATCCAATTATGGGGATGTGACAATTTATAATCGTGAGATGTGCCATTATGTGTATACTTCTTCCATGGGACTTATGCTTGCTGACTCAATTTTTTTTGAGAGATACCAAGAGAGTCTAGCTTTGTTGGATGCCGAGCATGATGCCTTGGATGAGGAGAGGGTTGAGGAAGGACATGACGAAGGGTTTGATGATGAGTGGTTGGCAAGGTATGAGGCTACATACCTTATCCCGTTGTTTGATGAACGAGAATTATAAACTGAAGTAGTCATGCTATATGCCATCAAATGTAGTTTACTGTTTTATGTGTTTGTGAAATTACCAACTCTGTGATTTATGGTTTTACAATGGTTTTAGACTGTCAATAATTACATCAACCGCTTTACTCTTTGGGGTAGAGGTCAGGTCTGCATACACAGACACCACCTCTCGATGGGACATACCAAGCTTGTATGGTTTGATTTAATAGTGAGCAAAGTAAGATTTCCTTGTAGCATGATGTTTACCGAGTGCCTAGATGTTAGAAGCTAGAATTATGTCATTTGACAAGTCTTAGAATGTGTTTGGCTTGTAGAGATCAATTGGTAGCACCCTCTATCCCAAACGAACGGGCCATTTTCTTTGTAGATGGTGCAGAGAAGTGCTCATTGAATTTCCGATGCTTATGTCAATCTTTTTTCCTTTTTTCAAATGTTTTAATTGGTACAAGCCTAATATACACAACCTCATGACAAAAAGCTTGAAACTTGCTGTTTTTTGGGACATGTGAGAATATTGCAGTAATGAACATCTGATTAGTAGTTTGTGAAGTTATTAAGTTGGAGTCAATTAGAGTAACAGGGCATTAATTTTCATGGATACAAATACCCCTTTGTGCAAGTAGTTCTAAATGCAATGCCTATTTGATATTTTTTTGCCTACCGAATTGTAATGAGATAGGACGGTCAAAAAATTAAAATGGAAACAATCCGTTGTCCATCTTGTTGGTACTCTCTAACAATGTATGTATTTGGTGGTATAATTGAACATTGATGTGGGTTATTGTAAATAGTTTTTTGACCTTGACTTTCTTAGGGGACTAATATTTGGTGAATGAGGTTCCTACGGAAAGTATGAGATCATAGTTTTTTTTCATATGAATGTTACATTTTCTCAATTTCTGGTGGTAAGAATAAGAACTTTGGCTATCGAATCCAATCCAACAGACTACTAACTGACTGCCAATCCAACTCAAGTGCTGTATCAGTCAATTACTTTTAGCAAGTTGATTGCAAAATTCGATCGCTTGTTGAAAGGACTGCTCACATTAAATGCACAATTACTCTTGAAATCCATTTCACACCTATGTGGTAATTGTGCTATTGAACAAATGATTGATCAATGGGCAGATACAGGTTCGAGCCCATGATCACTTAATCTAGTTGCGATTATGACCTATTTTGATGCCTTTGTAAGTACCCAGGACTTATCACTACAACAAAATTGAGTTTATAGGACGCCTAAATCGATTAGATGTTCCAATAGAGTGCCTTATAGGTTTATAGGACCAAAAGAATGAAGCGTTTTATAGTCAAGGCAAAGAGGAAAAAAAGAAAGAAGCTGTTTTCGTTCGATCGAGGGAATCGATGTACTTTCACTGCTGTGACCGGCTTTCATAAAGCGCCTTTGGGCAGCAGCTACTATTGKGATCCAATTCCGAGATCAATTCGACAATGAAACTCTTTAAGCTATGCTATTTTCTCTGTCATTTTTCTTGACGCGATACAAAAGACAACTTTCGAGAGTCACTTATCCCCTTGACCAATTAGAGCATGTTCTGGCTAAGGCTGGTGATCCATACACAGTAAATCCATAGCTTCTATACCGGGAGACCCAGTTCATATATGCAATAGCTCGAGATCGATAGCCCAACCCAACTACTCTAATGGACGCCTTACCTGACTCACCATTTGTATAGTGTATGAGACAAATGTATGCATTTCGATTCKGGTCGTATTCTATGGTTACGATTCTATCATATATGTCGAAAATCTATTTTACGATATAGACGCTTATGACCTCCCCCTCTATGCCTTGCGGTAATGATTTCTCTGGCATTACGACCTTTACCACAATGATGCTGTCCATAGATCAAATTATTTTGTGGATTGGATTTCACTTGACTGTCTACGGTTCCATTGCAGGGCCTTGGTTAATCTGAATTTCATATGTACGTATGTGAAAAGAAGTACAAATATTTCATATACTAAGAGCTCGCTAATGAGTACTGCATTTTCAAAATGGTAACCTTCCCATGGCATATAAGCTACTAATATGTTTTTTCCTAAAGTGAGTTCGCCAACAACTGTAGCAGCACTGTACGCTAAAATTGTCCCTCTTTAATGTATTCATCCTACCGAACCTGGGTTTTTGATGCATACAAGTATTTTTGTTGGAAYGTTGATACATAACTAATGGAACACTTATAGTATCTCCATTACCTGATAAAAGGATCTTGTCAGCATCGGTATAAAGAATCTTTCCCTCGTGTTCGGCTATAGCAAGAGCCCCTGAATCTAGAGCCACTTGGCCTGATCCTTTGTCCCATACTTTGAGATGCTCCTCCCCGCCGATCAAGCTAACAACATGTCGATTACACACCGAGGGTTGGTAAGAACTGAGGGAAAATGCCCCTCTAACTTAAGTGGGCAGAGAGTTGTGTCGGAGACATCTTTATCTGACTAGGAGGCTTTGTCGTCCAAAAAGTGCTACAATAAGTTTATAGGACGCTTTTGGATGTCATAACCACCTTTTTAAAATAAAGTGTCATATTAGCTATTTTATATAACACTTTTTCGTAAACACAAGCATCCTTTAAAAAGATGGATTTATAGGAAGCTTCTAAAAAACATCCTATGAAATAGCTAATACGACACTTTATTTAAAAAAAATGTCCTAGAAAACTTGTTATGACACCCAAAAGCATCCTATAAACACATTGCAACACTTTCATATACGACGCCTTATTTTTTTGTCCTATAAACTGAAGTCATATAAGGCACACTATTAGGACATGTAAATACTTTAGGCGTTTGATTTTGTTGTAGCGTGTTGTGGCCTCGATTTGTGCCTCAGCTTGGAAAGTTGGTACAACTAGCAGGAATTACTTCAATAGGTTATCTGACCAACCCTAAAAAACTAGAGGTGTTAAAAAAACCAAGAAATTGTTGAATTTACCGCAATTCAGTCCTGTTAGTTTAATTGCTTGGCAGAATTTTAACGATGGACTACCACTAGTTTTATGCTACATGACTAAGGGATGTCTATGCAATGCAAGAACTTGTAGGTTTGGAGACATAGAATTCATGATAATTTGCTGATTGGTTGTTTTTCTTCATCAGATAGAAATGAAATGGTTGAACTCAGTGTGGTTATTTTCTTGCATAAATAATTATTGAATATAACTTATTACACATTATCGTATAAGAATCATACATTGCTTGATATGTATAATGTTCCATGAAATAATAAGTGAATAAATTAATAAAGGGTAGAAATAAACCTCTCATCTTGACACTAATGTTTTCATTTCTAGCCCCTATTTATTTATTTCATGTGATATCACAAAATCCCAATAAAAATACCGGGTTCACTCAATAACATTTTCGCTTTATTCAACCAAACGTACCCAGACTTTACCTCTATCTCAAAGAGTAGAGCAAGTCCTCTACATTAAAGAGTTGTGTGCAAGAGTATGAATAAGCAGGTAGTAGGAATAAAGATTTAGCATATGGTGAACGAGGCATGAGAAATATAAGTAAGAATAAGTACTAAGAGGTACATTGAATACATACAAAAGGTACGGGAAGGCACTACCACACATAAAAAGTACATCTGAAACACATCCCCAGCTTATAGTCCTCTACCTCCCTCCAAAACCTGTCCAACTCCCACCTCCATGACTATGATAGTCAACAATCCAAATCCTAGTCAGCTACTCTAGACCTCCGTCTCGAAGTGCTCCTATCAGAGGTCATGTCCTCTGAAATGTCTAAGGTCACCATGTCCAACCTCAATATATTTGCTTTATCTAATGGGTTTAAAAGATTCTTTGCGGGTGTGTTGAAACATTGCTAATATGCTATAATAACTTAAAATAATAGTGATAACTATCCAATGCAAAACGTTTGACTCGGTGTTGTAATAACATCATGCTTCACTAGCAATTTTGGAAGTTTTGGCTTCATTGAAGAGTATTCGACCAAAAATGAATAGTATCACTTATTTATAGCTGATTCAGATCATGTATTTTGTAACAATTGTCCATCTTATTTTGGTTACATCTTAACGTTTATCGTTGTTGAGCTAGTGGTTTTTGCACGCTATGCGTATGTACTAAACATAAAATCTGCACCGACAAAATTATTATGGGAATTTGAGATTTCCATGTTCTTTGAAGTTATTTCTTGGGATGCACACACAAGATTCATATGTATGCATGGGAGTATAATAGCTATGGCTATGGTTGTGGTTGTTCTTTATGACAATGTTGTTTTGACAAATGTTTCATAAGGCTTAAGGGTAAGATGGCCCATATAGGGGTACCATGGCAAATATATGCCTATGGCCATGAGGCCTTACCTCTACGCAGGATGTAGAAATTTATAGAAGGATATCGTTCTTGAAGGAGCACGACCATGCTTTGTTGTCTCACCACAACTACATTATCCCTTTTATATGTTTGTGTTTGTGTGTATGGCGTAATACTCACAAGAGATAGTTGCTAAAGAAGACTAGGGTTAAGCCAACCTTGTTTGAGGTTGTGGGCTGATTGAACTCTTATTTGGGTTCACGTTTAACAACTAGTAGCATTATATTGATCTTACAAAATTAGTAAGAGAGTATTAATTACAAGGAAGAAGAAGCAATCTTGACGAAAATCTATCATTCTTCACTTGTATCCTTCCACACACCCATACACACTCTCTCTAACTAGTATCTGATCTACCATGCTGTGAAATTTCACCTATTCCTTCTTATAGGAGTCCAAATTTCCCTCTTCTAGTAGCTCGTATGATATTTACAATAAGAAATTCCAAGATACTGTCCATATCTAGTGCGACATCCCATAAAAACTGCATTGGAGAAACTGCACTCTCTCAAAGTACACAATAGAGGATCCAAGATCCCTATTACTCAACTTATGATCAACTAGTATCGCACCCAACCTTCTTTTGCATATGATTATATATAAAGCTTGCTGGTGCCACCCATTAATACATTTAAGCACCACAAACTTTAGGGCGTCCAATTAATTTTAATTCATAGTAAGCTTAATATGGTGTAGATCATATCAACCAAACAATTATGTCACAACATAGTTGTCAAAATCACACATAAATCATTTGAATCATACAATAAAATTTGGTTATTGATTCTTGAAGCAATGGATAGAAATCCCACTGGTGAAGCATACAATTTTGAAATCATCCTTCTACCATAGAATCAAATTTTCAATTTCCAGAAAAGTTGGTCCAGATTCCTTGCTTTAAGCATTATATTTGTGTTGGAAGAGGTGGAGTTTACTTATCCAAAACTTGTTAATAACTAAGTGAACACGTCTTTTAGTTGGTATTTGGTAAATAAAAGAGAACGACTAATTAAGACAAGATTCTCGATTATCATAAGTATATTTGGTTTATGCATCACTAGAATCCTAACCTTATGTGCTAACTTATCATAAACATCATTATCAATTTATCGCTTCCAACTTATTTTAAAAAATTCGAAGCGTATTCATGATTCAGTGAAAGATAAAAGAAATAAGCATAATGATTCTTGATTTGATTCATGAATTGAGAAATATAACGTATTAAAAAATGCATAACATATGTAAAATCATTCAAAATACACAATTTTCTTTGAAGTAAATTTTGAGATTGGAGGTCATTAGGTCAAGAGTCAAGTATATGGGAAACTAGGAATTGGGTGGTCCTCCAAACTTTTAATTATGAAATTTATATAATCATAAACATATAAAAACCGGGTGGGCCTTTTAGAATTTTATATATTTTGCTTCAGCCATGTCTACCCATTAATCTTAACGTGCCAATCTGTGTGTAGAATGGTTGCCCAAGCCTGCTTTTCTAGCGGGCTGGACGGACTAGGAGCGGTCTGTCTTGTCCGTGAAAACTTCAATTAAAGTAATTAGGCCAATGCCTGGTATAGATACGAAACAATTAAATTAAAGTAAATTACAGACAGGATTAAAATCAGTTACGATGAAGATACTGCTTTATTATCTTAAGAGAAATCAAGTTACCCTGGACAGGCTCGAATAGAAAATGAAGGGCATTCCTACAACTTTGATGTGTTTAGGCCCAATTACCGAAGTAAGAGTAAGAGACGAGCAACTACCGAGACCCACCCTTAAATGAATGCTCTATGAGAATGATTCTTGTGTGCACTTAGAGAAGGATATAACTCTTTTTGATCATGAACATGAATTTCTAACTTGAACTTCAAAATTTCAAGGAAAGTTAACATGTTTAAGTTGCCAAATGAACAAGGTCATTGATTTGGCCTTTGCATAACTTAATTAGATACTGCCATTTTAGTCCTATAAAGCCTATGTTCATTTCTATGGTAAGCTGCTACAACCATTGATTAAAGAGAAGTACCATAAGGAGTGTAGCGAAGTGATTCTCCTACCAGGAAACGATAATAAATCCGATATTTTACATTAAGTCAATAAGCCAATATAATTAATATCCCCATTCAAGAAAAGATCTTACACTTTTTCCTTTTAATTTGTTGTTCATATAACAGAAATGTTGTCTTTGATGTAACTGGATTTCTTATCGATTTACTTGGTGCATCATTGCAATTTTCTTATGTTTCCCTTTTCAAGAATCTAATACTAAATTTTCCCTTGATTTATACATGATTGTTATTTGTATGTCTGACCCAACAGATCGATCAGCAGTGGCTTTGAATATTCGGTTTGATAATGGATTAGCCAGTTCCTATTTGGAAGGCTGCAATTTCTTAAACTCTCTGCTGATGAATTATACACCGAATGGCTTTATACGATTGATTGGTCTGAGGTTTTCGACAAAAAAGATTTCCTGAATCCGAAAGAGAGTACTTGGGTTCTCCCAATAACTAAAAAGTGTCCATTTTTCGGGGTCTCAAAGGAGCGTGGAAACACACAAGAACTCTTGAATGGAAATGGCTCGCTTACGGAAAGTAGAGATTATGTTTTCACTGTGTTGTAGGGACTTCTTATCGGTACTCGGTGGGTTGCTATTAAGGAAACTCAGGTTAGCGCTTTTTATAAACTTATGTATAAAAAGAACATATTCAATTTAGCTCCATGACTAAATTTACGATGGGTTTCACTATTTTTTATCCAGCTGTATTGCATCTAACCATGAATTCTTTTCAGCCACTTCAAAATTAATCTTTCTTCTAAAGTAGTGGATTCATGTTGTTCTTTTATAGTGCTAGGGAAAACTGGACTTGTTTTTGTCTCATAATTTTACTTATTGGAATAGTTGGAATGCTTGTACAGTAATTTGAGGTGCCAAAAATTATCTTTCATGGGTATTGATATCAAATTGTTAAAAGCCCTTGTCGATGAGATTATGATGACTACAAAGCTTCAGGTATGCTTTCTATCACCCTATCAACATGTATATTTGTGTTATGACCATTTACAATTGTTAGATCTAAGCTGTAGTTCGACTTAATGTTTTTACCTCGATTAGTACTTTTAATTCTTGATTCTCTGTTCATTTATAGTCGTTATTTTGATGCATCTTGGTCTATCCTTACATATAACTATAATCTATGAATGTGAATCCAAAATGTTTACACATTTATTATAATGGATTTCTAGGTAACTTAAGTGTATTTACATGGCATCACGAAGATTATATCTATGCTAAAAGATGGATTTGATATAGGTGTGTATTTAATATTCATATGACCAATACCTGAACAAAATTCTACTCCTTGTCATAGAGTTAAGGTCTATGTACATCCTCCCCTCCCCAAACCCTACACATTGTGGGATTCACTCGGGTTGTTAGGTTTGGTTTGGTATACTTGCACAAAATGACTGACAAAAAGGGTCGAGTACATTGGCTATCACCCTTTAAGCGACTATTGAACTAGTTTTGGGGAGATTATATTTGAAAAAAATAGATAAAATTATTACTAGACTTTCATGTTTTTTTCTATTTATGTACTGCTATAAAATTACAACTTAGGGTCTTGTTACCAAACATTTACCGCTTCTTAATTAGCGGGTAAGTGTTGCTGATTCGGTTAGAATAATGTTGTTTACCCACACCCTCTGAGCATTTAAATGCGTGATCTCTAAGTTTATTTTGTAAAGGTAAATAAATAAAAAAGGCATAAAAATTCAATGATTACTATTCGATTTACCGTATTAAAATACCTCCTCCATCCCAAAGCGATGAAATAATTTATGTCTTGTGTTTTCTTGAAATGAATATAACATTTCCATTTTTTGCAAGAACTCAATCCAAGTTTACCTGTCTGTCAATTAGCAATTGCAAAATATTAGTATTTTTCTTATTATGTATACGGATAAAAAATTGAAATTTGTTGAGGAAGTAAGAATTTTTGTTTGAAAAGTTATAATATTTTTTCCAGATTTTTTTAAATCTATTATTATCAATCAATATAAAATTTGTTATTATATTATTTATCAATCAAATTATCGCAAAGCAGGGAGAAACAATATACAATAACATATGTTACTTTATATTATTTGTTGTTTGAAAATGAGTGTTATAATTACAAAAGTTTTATATATATATATATATATATATATATTATTCTACATATTTGTGAGTAAAAGTAATTTTTGCATAGATTCAAAACTATAATATTCTGATGAGTAAATTAAACAATTACGCTCAATCAGACATTTATCGTTTTACAAAAACATTCTTTTTTGATTTTGCACTCAAACTTCACAATACTTCTTATCAATAAGATGTGAAATAAGACTTCAAATTTCAGCACCTCTTTAATAGCAAATCCAACACCTCAATCTTCTTCACTATTTCTCAAATACAACGGCAGAATCCTCTCCCTCTAAAACTCGCTCTCTCTCTTGAAATTGAAAATGGCCGGCCACCTCCCAATGGAAGTGATCGTCGAAATCCTCTCAAGGTTACCATCAAAATCGCTTCTTCGTTGCCGATCGATGTGCAAGTCTTGGCTGTCTTTGATCTCTTCTGCCGAATTCAAGCTCATGCATCTTAACAATTTCAACCAACAAAATCCTCGCAATCTTGTCCGTCGCTTCGAGTGGAGGGAGAACAAGGAAGTGTATAGTGTGCATTTCGACGATGAAGCTTTAACTGTGGATCGCGGTACCCTCGTTGAATTCCCCTTCCATCGTAACCGTCATATCATCTTCTATTTTAGGATAATTGGGTGTTGCAACGGTGTTATTTGTCTCTCTGATGATAAATGCGAATCTAGAGAAGATAAAATCATTCTCTGGAATCCTTCAATTAGAAGGAATGTAACCCTAATTCCTCCCATGTTTCGATCAAGCAATATGGAAGACATGTTACTTGTTTTCGGGTTTGGCTATGATAAGATGTCTGGTGATTATAAGGTAGTCAGATTGGCCTACGATGATTGTTCCATCACTAGACCTCAGGCAAGTGTTGCTTTACATGTTCTTTCCCCAATCTTTTTATAGCATATAGAAATTAATAGTTATAATTGAACCAATTATTATAATTTGTTTTCATTGCCATCTCAGGTTGAGGTTTACACTGTGAAAACTGCCATTTGGAGGGCAGTTGGGTTTCCTCATGATTTGCCTTGCTTCTCTATCCTTCCCAATTGGTCACAAGTGTTTTTCAATGGATCCATGCATTGGATAGCATGTGATTTGACACCTGGAGTCTCACGTTGCTCAATCATGACATTTGACATAAGGACCGAGCTTTTTGCAGAAATTCAGTTGCCTGAATCTTTACTGCAAGAGTCCGCAATGAGTTTGGAGATTGCTGTAGTTCGAGAATCTTTGGCTGTGATCTATTCTAGCCGTCATAGTCATAGTTTTCCATGGTCAGGCCCAAGTACCTATAAGATATGGGCTATGAAGGAGTATAAGAACCCTGCCTCTTGGACAATGATATATAATATGCATTATCCCACTAAAGATGTAGGGAGAGTTTTGCGTCTTAGAAAGAACGGTGATATGATCACCGGATCTAGATATGGGGATTTGATGATTCATACAGACAATGTGGGATATTATGTGTATGCTTCTTGTACTGGGTTTATTATTGAAGACTCGATTTATATTGACATATACCAACAAAGTCTAGCTTTGTTGGATGTTGAGCCTGACGTTCAGAGTGAAGAGATGAAGGGTGAACAAGGAAGGGCGGAAGAGTATCACGATGAGTCGCTAGGTACCCTGTTCCGTGGCTTGGTGAATGAGAATTAATGAATTGAAGTAGCCATGCCATATTTTAGAAATCAAGTTCGTGTTGTATTTTGTTTGGTGTGTGTTTGTGATCATACCAACTCTCCTTTTTGTGGTTTGGTGTGTGGTTGTGAACATACCAACTCTGCGTTTTGTGGTTTTACTTTGCATCTAGACTCTCATCGATTGCATAAATCAATAGTGAACAAAGAGGCATTTTCTTGTAGTTTGTTGTTTGCTTAGTGGCATTGTGGTAGCTGTTAGACTCAAGTCCTTTGACGAATCTTAGTCAGTCAGGATGAACTCGTACACCATCTGCCCCAAACAAACGAGCCATCTCCTTTGAGCGTGTTTGGTACATAGATGGGATAGGACTGGCGAGAATGAGTAGGCGATTGAAAGAATTGTGGAGGATTTTAGGGTTTTAATTTCACATGGGTAAGTTTTGTAATTTACCAATCTTGTCCCATCTCCCTGATAATTCCCCCTATATTGGTGGGACAAAAAAATTGCATTTTTGTCCCATTCAGTCTCGTCGGCCTTGTTTAATATTGCGTCAAAGGTGGGACAAGAAGTTTTTGTGCTGTCTTGTCCTGTCAAGTCCTGTGTACCAAACACACCCTTGTAGATAATGCAGGGAAGTGCTTATTTACTTTTTGATTATGGTAGTATTTATACATTGGCATTATGCCTTCTCTTACATGCCTGCCAGGGAGTTACCCTCAGCTGTTAAATAGGGTATCTTAAAACCTAAAAACATATCTTGTATCCGTAACTTAATCTGAAAAAAACTCAAAACTTACTATTTCAGTTAGGATCAGTAGAAGATCCTGGTAAGTGAACATCTGATTTGTATTGTGTATGTGCATATTTGGAGCAAATAGGAGTAACTAGTCATTAGTTATCATGGAGATAAATAATTTTTGTGTTTGGTGAATGGCATGCGATCCTCTACAGGAACTGGAAATATAATTAAGAACCTCTACACGAATATATAGTTTTCATAAGAATTGTGATGCATCTTATGACAGTAAGTATAGGAAGCTTGCCTCTTTTTTTATTCAAATGAGTTGGCAAGAAGAGGATCTTGGTAGACTAGAAACAGTCATATCAAAGTGATTGTAACCGTTACGAATCTATATTTAGAATATGTGATTTATATACCAGTTTAATGTGGATAATGGAACCTATATATTTAAAACAGTTGTATGCTATGCTCCTATAAGAGAATAGCTGTCTACATCTTTTTCTACTAAAGCAACTAGTAGAGCTTCCTTGACCTTAAATGTGATTTTTTCATTCTTGCCTACTTAGATTTGGGGTTCTTAGAAACGTTTTGAGTTTTTGTTGATGTTGGATGTGTCACAATTGACCGCAACTAAATGGAATCATGAAATCTATATGTTGATTCTCACTATATGAGCAAAGTTGCAATAATACTGGTAGAAACCTTGGATGAAGCTAGGAAAATTATTTGGCCAACAAATAGTGACTAAGGGGTAGTTTACCAACACAAACTGGGTAAGAGTTACCACTCTCACTTACCTTACCGGGTAATATTCTTGGTCATCAAAATAGCATAGTAAGATTGTTGGTAAACACCATCGTCTGACCGGGTAACTACTAACCAGGTAAGAGTCACCAACCTCACTTACCTGGTCAGCACAATGACATATTAAGATTGTTGGTAAAGACCATCATCTCTCACCAGGTAAGCATCTCTTATGGTAAGAGGTAGTAACTGTTTAGTAAACAACCCCTATATAAGATGAGGATTTTTCGTGATTTCACATATTTATCATAACAATTCGAAAGTAAATAATGTTGATCATGAGCCAATGTTGAATTAAAGTTTACAAAGGATATATAATGGACTCGTAAAAGTTCTAGAAGGTGTTGGTCATCGGGGAGCTCTATTCTTGGAGAATCTTATGTGATATATACAAGGAAATGATCGCATTGTTGCTTCAAGGACAGTTTTGCACCGGTTAAAATCATCTAATTTTGTGACAAAAAGATTTTAACAAGGAAGGTTACTTGTTAGCATTTGATCTCGCAAGCCAACCTTGTGGTCGGAGGGGCCATTCACATTTTAGTACATAATTACTCGTGAAACTGAAACTGGTTTCACCCATGTGTAATGGCTAATCATAGACGACTGTCACCCCTTCTCCGTGTCATCTCATTATGTTTTGTCATACCATTCTTTAACATATATACGGGACAACCTGTGGGAATTCAATCTGTTGTAATCAAGTTTGTTGCCTAATAGGTTATAAATCATGTGAATTAAAGAATTATGTCATAACATAGTTGTTAAAATAATAAATAAACGATATGAAATAAACAACACGATTATGGCTCTTGATTATTGAAGGAAACATTAGAAATCCCACTAGAGAACCATAATCTTGTCTGATCGAAGAAGTGGCCCTTGTTTCATCTAATCAAATTGTATTATCCCATTCTAGCATTCTACTGTAGATTCTTTACCTTAAGTGTTATGTTTTGGTGGTATTTGCAAGAGTTCATTGATATAAAATTTGTTAACAAGTAAATGGAAATAAATGTTTGTTTCGTTGGTACTTGGTGAAGCCAAAGATAAAGACTAATGTGGCAAGACAAGATTTTCGTGATCAATATCATTATGTTTTGGTTTATGAATATCTGGAATTTTGTAAGATCCCACATGGGTTGGGGAGGGAAACTAAGGTTGTCTTACAAGGGACTGAATACCTCCTCTATTTGACGCGTCTTAAAACCGTGGGCCCAGGTGTGGACAACGCGGACAATATCTAGTACGGTTGCCAATAGATGTTACAAATGGTATTAGAGCGTGTGCTCCCAACGGGGATGGATTCTAAGATCCCATATCGGTTGGGGAGGGGATCTAAGGTTGCTTTATAAGGGACATCTATCAGATGGGTTTAAAAATTGTGAGTCCAGGTGTGGACAAAACAAACGATATCTGGTACGGTTGGGGTAGGATGTTACAAATTTAAACCTTGTTTATTTTATTTTTATGCACATCATAATCATATAAATAATATTTCTTAGAGAAAATTGAAGTGTATCTACAATTGAATTTGTTCCAAGATTTTAGAAATAAGCATAGTGATTATATTGTAATTCATCGTTTGAGTTCTGTTGTATGTAAGGGGAAAGGGTATAAATAGGTTCCATATTAACTTATGTGCATATATATGTGTGCATGTGTGTGTATTCTAACAAAGTTTAGGATGGTACTTACCTAAAAATAAATTATATTTTGGTAGCACAAAATAAGACAAGCTCCTTCTCACATCTATACACTTTGTAGAGGCTTCCTTCTTGCACAATTCGTTTCATAAAGCAAGGAAGCCTCTTCCAAGTGCATAAAGGTGTTAAAATAGGGGTATTTCATTAATAATAGTATATAATTCGGGGTTTCTAGAATTAGGATCCTTCTATCATATCAACCCATAAACCACCATTGTACTATAAAGAACCAAACCAAACATACCCAATATACATATTCACAACAAATACCTCCTTACTTTACCATTATTTGAACATTCATCGTTCGATTGATTCCAACACATGAATCAATCAATAAAATTAGAAAGCTAGTTTGATCAATAAAATGACAACAATAGAAACTCTTTGCGGTATCATAGTGATAATGCAATAGAGTATATAATTTTTTTCTCTCTCCATGGGATGTTACATGACTCTTCGTGTGTATATACTCTACAAGAAAATGATGTTGAACACAAACACATACATTTATTAGATGTTGTGCCTACTTTGTTAATTCATCGTAACATCCCTCACCATTTCATGGGTGATGTTGTCTTACCACATGTTATCTTGTCAATTGTTACCCTCTAATGTGTTACAAGGTGAGATTCCTACTCGAATCCTTTTTTTATTGGCAAATACTTTTTTATGTTCCACCTATAATTATTGGTTGTCTGAGTTATGTGCATTAGTTTAAGCCTACTACTACTACTACTAAACTTGATTGGGCCTCGATATGCATTTTTGTAAGATGTTCTTGATCCCTAAAGAATCTCAATGTTATGACCCTCGTAAAAGAAATCCAACTTCGATATCACATTTCTTGAATCATGATTATATTTTATTACTTATCCTAATGATAAGCCCTGGTATCTCCATACTTGCATATTGTAATATCTTAGTACATGTTTACAAAAAAGTAAGTGGTAACCCCTTAACTAATAGAACTTTCTTTAGGCATCCCTTTACTCATCTTGAGGTAATACCTTTCTCCTACTATAGGTTAACAAGAATGTGCATATTCCTGATATCGTAAAAAATCCTATTACTTCATATATATCTCCTGCACCTTGTACCAATTTGTCTAATACCCTCATGCCGTTTATTGAAATCAAGTTGGAACTGTGGCCGATCCTTATTAACCGTGAGTCAAAGCCATACACGAACAATGTTCAATTTGGCCAGAGGTGCAAACGTCACTTGATGGTCAGTTTCATAGGACTGGGTCCATAGCCACTGAGTCTAACTTTGAATCTGTAAATACTCCCATCTGCCTTGTAAACTGTGGAGTACGTGCACCCAATTGGGTTCTTCCTTTTTGGTAATGAGGTCGTAAACCATGTCTTATTGTCTTTTAAGAAGCATATCTCATCTTCTACTGCTTTCTTCTTCGATGGTATAGAAAGAGCATCTTCATTAGATTGTGGTAATTTGTGAAGGCAAATGTATTTCCCCAAGATGATCTTTATTCACAAACATTTGAATATATATACAAAGGAGAAGCTACAAATCAGGAACTGATCTCCAATCATTTAGGGGGGATCATTTACCAAATACCAACCTAAAATAGATAAGACTAATTCTAAAAATGATACAACTAATTTACAGCTAATACACCCCGTCAGTCTGAGCAATAGAAGGACGTATGCATAGATTGGACCGAAAACGGTGGAAAAGATGACGTGGTAGCCCTTTTGTGAAGATGTCGGCGTACTGAAAATCGGCTGGAACATGTAAAACCC